GCATAAATGACTAAATAGGGACTTTGAGATAAAAAGTATCTACCGTCACCAGGGACACTGGCTCATGCTGAGCTCAGCCCAAACCCAGGGACATGGTTCTGAGATCACGTGTCATGTCACTGGAGCAAAATAAAGCTTACAGGAATGGAGTAAGTGGTGATATGGAAGAGTATAAAAATAGATGATCGAAGTTGCAATAAAGCAAATGAGTTCATTATGCATTCAGGGCAAGCCCTGTATAGGCAATGAAAGTTGGGAGAAGCAGGGATGGAATGATAGGGTAAGCACATCTTAGGATAGTCTACTCAAACAATTGACTGAAATCTGGCAGTATGGCTCTCCCTGGATTCCAGAATCAATACCTCATTGCAGTAAGAGGTTCTCGCCTTCTAGACATATTGCTTGAGGCTAACAAGTACTTGTATTAGTTAGCACTAAAGCCACAGCTTCTAAACACTTTAAATGGGAACAAACCAGACCTTTTTCATGGCCATACCAACATCTTCCTTTCCTTCCTCAAGTTTCTTTGCCTCCCCACCACTCCTTCCTGTAGCTGGCACCATATTACCACATTTTGAACTCCATCCAGAAAAGGATCTAGTTAAGTAAGTGATGAATTTCATATATCTTTAATCAGAAGTGGGGTTAACTGGCAGAGGAATAAGCTGGTAGAAACAGAACAGATGAGGGAAGACCAAGTGGCTTCTTTTGGGGACTGCAGTAGTGTAAAGTTTGTGATGTTAATAATATCTTGGCATGATCAAGAGTCCTTTCTCACCTGCAGGAGGGCAAACATTCCGATTATAAATTTAAATCCATCTCATATGTGTTAAATGAACAAACAGCAGCATGATTTCAAACCTTGGCTAGTCCTACCCACCTGCTGTGCTCTTCTGCCTTTCCATGACAGGAGGAAACACGAGCCTGCACCTCAGTCATTCCAGCTCCTCCCAACACAACTGCACCACCACTGTGAGCCTGATGCCAGAAGAGAGGAAAAGCAAATAGTTTGTGGAAGACAATCCTAAACCACTGCTGGAAGATTCAGAAGAAGCTTCATCTTCCCCCCCAGCAACTGTGTTTCTTACTCAGACTGGAATCACCCATCATGCTTAGTATTTTGCATTTCAGGACACATTCCTACTGCCCAAGACATTTAAGGTTACAAAATAAAGAGCAGCCAGCTATTGACTTGTCTATAATACCTGAAACAGACCAAAGTATGTGAAAAACACTGTAGTCCTTCAGGTATGAAGCCAATTCTCAAGGAAAAGCACACTGTAAATGAGACTGGGCAGCAGCACTGAGAGGTTTGTCTGCTCCGACCCCATCACTGAAGTTTATGAAGCAAATCAAACTTTTAGGACTCAGCTGTGTTCAGCAATCCAGAACACAGGCACCATTGACTTTACTAACAAGATGATTTCCCTAAACATCTAGGTTACTCAGCCATTTAACACCAGTCTGCTACCTGAGGCAGCAGAAGTAAACCAGGGGATGCTGAGTAGAAATACATGAGATCACTGTCTGGCAGAGAGCATGCTTTCTTAAAAGATCGTACAGGGTATTCTACACAACCATTCAGAAGACTAGACAAAGCCATAAAAGCTGGCAACAAGCAACTTTTGCCTTGTATTTGTTCACCTACAACTTAAGGCAGAAAATGGACCTTCCTGCAGCATGACACTGCACAGGCTATATTCCCTTCAGCAAACAGCATCACTGTTAATTCTTAAAGAATGAAGATTTTTACAACAGAGACTTCATTTTACACTAAGCAACCCCCCTGAAATAATGAACTCCATTTTACACTAAATAAATACCCTGAATAAGCAATATTCTGTTTAACACAAAGACTATCTTTAAAACATAAGCAAGTACACTGGATAAAAATTCCCCTTCATGGAACTGTTCTGCTTTCAGAAGTGTGAAGTTCTATGGCACATGCTCAGATACACCACCTAGCAGTGGAAGCAGTGGAACAGATGAAGCAGTGGAGCACGAGAGCAGTTAATAAGCACCTGTTTATCAGTCATCTATCTGATAAGGGGTAGGCAGAATAGGTACAAGTTTAGCCAGAGGTAAGTATTAAAGCAACTGAAAAGATATTTCTGCCAGAATGTTAAATGTAACTGTCATTCTAACATTCTTCATTTTGCTTGTTACAACTGTACAGTGCAGCAAATGTTTAAGTTACAGTGTTTGGTCAACAAATTTCCTTCATTCCTCCTAAGGTCACTTAAGTCCTTTTCCCACAGTTGTATTCATCTCCCTTGTAAAATAAATAAACGAAGGCCCATTTTCTGAACTTGGGATAACCAAATTTTACACAGGACAAAGATGTTTTTGCTACCACACTCTTTTTTTTTTTTTTTTTAAAATCTCTCAATGCCCTTTGATGAAGGGCTGTTGGTGTAGGAAGAGCTTTGCTACAGCTGATACCCTCTGCACCACTAGCAGCAGAAACCCAAAACACTCACACTGCCAAGCTGACACAACACTGGGTTTCTGCAAGGTGCTGCAAAACTTGAAAAATAATTTTAATCTGCTTAAAAATGGACCAAAGAGGCAAAGACTGAAATAAAGCCTCTGTTACGAGAATTAAACATTTAATATTCTACCTGGTGCAAGAAGAAAAAAAAAAAAAAAGAAAAAAAGACAGGGAGGCTGTGATCACTGGAAAGCTATTACGAGAAAGGAGTTACTATCCTAACATCCAGTATGCGATAAGCATTTCATACTGTGCATAGGAAACCTGAACACATGGTGGACATGAGTATTATTACTGAAAAAAAGCAAAATAAGCAGAGAACTCTGATGTTTCTTCTTTTCTTTTCAAGGACGTATTTTCTGTACTCTTACACCATACTCACTCCTGGAGTGTTTTGAGTATATTCTCCTATTGCACTAAGCTGCAGCACATTTTCACTCCCCAAATGCTGCCTGTTCCAACTTCTTGCCAGGGAAAAAAAGCATGCACAGGAACAAACATGCTCTTCTAAAGAACTAGCTTACATCTTAATACATCCAGTACTTTGCTCAAAGCTGAAGGGGTTGTGGTCAAAGAAAAGTTCCTTGTATTCACTGCAGGTGGAAAAGTTTGTTATAATTCTTCCTTGTGGAGGAGTTTACTAATTGCAGACTGAACATGTCTCCCACAGGGGAGAATGCCCACCTTTCTCATGTTCCATTTCACCCAGAGATGCATTTATTTCAGCACTGTTATGTACCAACTTCCCCTCCTTATGAATATTTAGACTCCAGCAAAGTTAAAGAGGAATTCTGCAACAGTATAAAATAATTATTTCTAGGTTTGTGCTCAAATCTTGTAGAGAACATTTCTGGGATATAATAAACGTAATTTCATTTTATCAAATCACTTCCATTTCACATCAAATCTTCAGTCCACACATGTCATAGAAGCTCAGAGTCAAACATGAAGAGAAAGTAAGTTCTACAAGTCTCAAGCCTGCTCATGTTTCACCTTCTTTTACAGAAAGATGTTAAGAATGAAGAAGTAATCTCTTAAACTAAATAATTTCACTTAAATGCAATGAGCTAGAATTAGTTACCTATCAGTGGTACTTTCTTCCAGGAATTCTTTTCCTATGTTCCCCCAACTAGTATTTGCAATAATCAAAATATATCTAGGTTTAAAAACAGCTGATTTTATCTCTGCACAAGTTTCTCACAACCACATCAATGACCACCCAGTTACTAAGGAAAGAGGATATAACAGAAGAGGAAAGCATTTTGGCTCACATGCCTCCTTCCCAACAAAACTGGCATGCAGATTTTAATGAAAAAGAAATCTACATGTACCTATGTAAGTTCCTATATTTTAATGAAAGACCCAAAAAGTCACAGTCTTTGCAGAGAACAAACAACTGGCAAAGACTCTCTTATTCAATCCAAAGTGAAGTATTAAAGAGGTCACTCCTATAGCAGCAACATGATTCCACAAATTTCAGTTGCTACAGTAAACACAGTCATCACTTATTTTTTTATATTTTGATTAAAATTATCAGACATGGGAACACTTGCCTTAAAGCAAATAAAAAAAGGAACGACAAGTATAGCCTCTTTGAGCAATATATTTCTGTTTTTTAAATGGAATCTCTGCAATGATCACAAAAATCACACCTATTTTAGATATACTGATGAACAAGATTGTCTTAATTAATGCTGTAAGACAACAGAGTATGGATGGAAAGTGCTCTTGAAGGATCGCAGTTTTCTCCTTTGTCAGTGCAGCGTAGTCCAGGCAGCACTGCAGCACACACCACACCTTTTGCTTCAAGATTTTGCATGCTGAATCTGTACTGTTTTCCATCACCGTATATTAAAGCTTATTAACTGATTATTCTATTATCAAAGTTAAGCTGCGGCCAACTTGACTCCATTATGTTGTTATAGCTGCAAATCATTCAAAATACTCTCTATATGATACACCACATTAATTGAACCATTAGTAACAGTAGTATGCCTCATTTTTAAAACTCTTTTCAGAGAACTACCTCCTCTATGTAGTCTTTAAAGTCATTGTGGAACACTCAGTGTGTGGCTGAACACAAATAGTGTAGGGCTAACAGCCACTTCAGGGGTTGATGATGCAACTAATAAGAACAGAAGTTTAAACTACCTGCTTCCCAGATAAATCTAGAATAGGATTCCGAAACATTCCTTCTCTGCCCTCTTCACTTCAAAATAAATATTTTTTTAGACACTTCTGACTGAGATGCTTCATTATTTAGTGCCTATGGAAAAGGAGAATTTGCCCTTTTCTATCTTCCCTTCCCAGAAGAGTGAATGTTTTCAGGGCAGCGAGTGTCTTCAGAGGAGAAATTTAATATGTACAGCCTTTCATGTTTTAAATATAAACCAATGAAAATCAAGGCACTCAATGTAGTTAAGTATGAACAAAAACCTGATATTACTACGAATAATAATCAAGATTATTGGCACATGTGCAGCTGGGAATAAGGGGGAATCTCATTCTTTTAGAGCTTTGGCTTGAACTTGGGAGAAAGAAACTTTTTAAGCATGTCAGTATTTTTTCCTTCTGGTGGCAATGGCCATCTGTTGTGATCTGAGGAAAACAAATAAAAGACATACTTCAGTTGACTGAGAAGCCAGGCATTTTACTTTCGTGCCCTCCCACTGCCCAACTTCAATCACTTGCAGGGTGATCACTTGCAAGTGATCACTACTATCACTTTGTAGCCCGTTTCTTACCAGGTATTTCTAGGATTTGGCTGTATAAACTTTGGCCTCCATCCACGGCCATGGTTATCCCTGTTATGTAAGAGGCAGCTGGAGACAGTAGGAAACACACTGCAGGAGAGATCTAACAGAAGAATGATATTTTTAATCTTTCTTAAACTGCTGGGAATTGTTCATGTCAAAGACATTTTTAAAAACTTTTACAGGCAAGATGTTTTCTACTCATTAATGAAAAACTTAACAGCCTTAAAGCCATCTTCTCAACTACATAACAGACAAAACCCAGTAAGTCCTCAAAGATCAGCATCAGATGCCAAAAAAAAAATCAATGAAAAATCCTTGACCAGTTTATCAAAGATGTACATTCTTGGTAGAAGAGAGCTAAGTAATTTTAAGACACAATTTTTTCACATTAATAGTCATTCTTTCAGTCCTCCTTGCTGGAAGTGAATTTTTTGAGGAACTAATGTCTAGTATGAAACACTCCAGCTGTAAGAGGCATCTAAATTAAATTTTCACCAACAGTGACAGTAGTTAAGTCTCCCACTTGGCACTAGCACACATCACTACAGCTTTTTTCTTTTTTAATATTCCAACACTGTGCAAAACTGAGTCTTTTTTGTTCTCCCAATAGCAAAGTGACTTCAAAATAAAGAGACAGAAGCAGAAATACTAGCAATGTTGTAAAACACTTTACCTCCTCAGGAACCGCAAACCTCTTGGCAGGAATCTTTGGTATGAACTTCAACCACATCACTGTGCCTTGTTCTCCATAATTCGCGACAGCAGTTTCTGAAAATACTGGTCCCTGTTTTAAAACAGCATAGTGAAAATTCAGGGGTTTTCTGCATTTGTTTACACTGTGATCATTGTAAAATTGTGAAGTTGTCATTACTGGGATTTTCTGTGGGATTAAACTATCTGAACAGCACTTGAATGGAAGTTTTTAAATCTAATGGAATAGCCTAATTCATACAAGGTGGTGATTTGGCTGCTAGCCACATCTCTATTCAGCCACAGTAATTCAGATTATTCTAATTCTCCACTGTCACTTCAATATATATAAAGTTAAGAGCATAAAGAAGAAACTCAAAAATTGTTTTGAAATTACAAGCACTTCATATTAGCTTACAGCAGAAAACTACAAAGGGCCAAGAAGTTCTCAACAGTTTCTGGTGATGTGTAAGAACATTAGACTGATTTTACTGTGTGTTATGGAACCAGACAGACTTCAGAGTCAGAGTTCAGACTCTCCCTGCTTAGCTGCTGTAGCAATAGAAAAGTGTGACTGCGTAGGCTCTGATGACTACACAGCTCAGGAAAGACTTGAAAGGGAAGATGAAGGCTACAGCAATGGGAACACAGATTAGTTAAGACAGAACCTCTGGAGCTAGAGTTACTCAAGTCTCTCTCTTCTAAGGTACCCGTGAGACTTTAATGACTGCATTTTGGGGAGGTAGGGAAGTAACTTTTATTTGAAACTATGTTTTTTTAGAGTGCCCTTTTACCTCTCTGTCTACCCATTCCTAGATGTTACTCTGCTCCTACAGAGCAGTAACAGTTTTGCATGGTTACCACAGACTTAGTGTGTCCATAAAGGTGACAGAAGGATACAAAGTGTTACTGTAACTACAACATGGATTTTTGTTACCAGCACAGTAACCACACCAGCAAATACACTGACATGTTTGCTTGTCAAAAACTTCTTTTGACATGCACTATAACGTATAATTAATATGATTTATTAGGTAATTAGCATGCCTGAAAAATATATTCATATAATAATGCTGTCTTAATTACTTACTTCCCCAAGACTTGATAAAACAGAAAAAAACAAATTAACAGGAAAAACAAGCCCGTCGAGATCTTAACATGTAACAAGTCTCTGGCTGAGCTGGGCCTAACAGAGGCTACACAAGAACCAGCACCTGAACCATCACCACACATCTGCCCCTAAGCATTCTGTGCTCTGCCAAATAAGAGCATGACAGATGTTTTAGGACAAGAGGCACAACAGGATATACAGACATCCTACAAAGACAGTAGAAAGATGTGCCTAGAGACCAGTTAAACAAATCTCACACTTAACTATACCACAAGATAACAAATTCTGACTGTAGAAGTACCAGGGCAAAGTTCACCTTTCCTTTTTTTGTTTTCAAGGGAGTAAATATACAAAATAAATTGTGATTAAGAGTAAAGATTACATAAATCACAATCTCAAATGTCAAAGGCAGGGTTTATATATAGCCTCTACAATTGCAGCACCATGCACTAGAAATACAGCTGCTCTTTGCATACAGTTGTTTAAAAAAACTGCTACATGCTACCTACTTTCTCAGAAACAGAGCAGACATCTTTTAGCTGACCTGTATAGCAGCTTCCTGTTTGTAGATTTTTGATAAGAAAAAAAATCAGAACACTTCTTTTACATATAACTACTTTGAGAGTGAGTCCATTCCAAATACAACCTTTTTATGCCAAAGAATAACTTAAAAAGTTAAATGCTACAGATTTTAAAGTCCCTTTTGATCCAAAGGTTTTGAGCATGAACATGTGTGACAGCTGAAGTTAACTAGATTGTTTGACATTACTTACAGGAGCAATGCTGTTGATTCTCACTCCGCTGTGGGCCCATTCTAAAGCTAGGCTCTTGGTAAGGTTATTCACTGCAGCTCTTGCAGCTGCTGTGTGCCTGGTGAGAAAAGAAAGCAAAAGGAGCACCTGTTCCCTCAGAGAACAGTGCCCAGTGTTAAATCAGCCTCATTAGGGTAGTCAGAGTAGCTTTCTATGGCTGGACCAAGTGTCTGGGAGAAAGAGATCTTCTCGTTTATAAGTTTGACCATAACTTCACAGTTTAAACAAGCTATGCTATGATTTCCTGTCATTTCTGGAAATACTTATCTCTTCCTCAAGGTGACATGAGGTCAGCTACATTCTCCTGCAGAAGCAGGCTTATAAAATGAAAAACAACTGGAGGCAAAGGTCAAACTGTGTAAAACTACAAAAACTATGCTGCATAGGTAAAGCAACACTTGGGAGGACAGTTGTCTGAAAAATAGTTTAGATCTGCTGACAAACATGACTAAGATAAGCTGCTATTCAAAAATTATTATAGGTGGATGGAGATGACCACAGGCTGAGTGATCTCATACACCTTGCTACTAAAGGAAACTAGTCTGAAATTATTACAACCTAGAACAGAAACAGATAACATTACTGCAGCAGTGAATGGTGGGACTCAGAATACTAACAGAGTTTAGTTCCTTTAGCCTAGCAAAACAGACTTCAAGGAGATCGATACAGTAGCTTCTAACCAGAAAAAGGAATAAGGGAAACATAAGAAAACTCAGCTTATTTGTATGTGTAGGCCAGAAATAAATAACATCCAGGCACACTATGAGCAAACAAACTTAACATGTTTTATGTTCAAAATTTATAATTATGAAAAATTGTATCAGGTGATTTTTGACATGAGTGGTTGCTGGACTTGTAAAGGCAAGTCTTTTTCAATAGTACATTTCTAAACCAAGTATTAGTTCAACAGGTATTAAATTTGAAAGTAGTTTTGTTTATCCATTTACATCCACACATAACAGTTATTTGGAAACTTTTTTTCACTGTTATTCAGAGTTATTTTTTTTATCTGTTGGTTCAACTGTCAAATATAATTTCAGCCTATTTGCCTTGATAATTCAACCAGATTTAACCTGAGTGTAGAAACTCAAATAACTGCAGCTTCAGCACCACCTTGTGGATCTCTAAATTTATTTTGTACTGCCAAGAACAACCTAGTGAGAAAATATCCTGCTGTTCCTTAAAAATTCTAAATTTTGAAACTTTCAACCCTGAATGAGGACAAAGAGATATAATGTAACATATGCTCTTTTTTTTTTTTCTATTAAGAAACTGTCAAAATGCAGCATTTTGACAACTTCAAAATTTCCTTTGAAAACTAAACAACAGAAACAAATAATTTTCTGGTTATTATTTCCCTTTCAACAAATTGGAACTTTTTTTTGAGGAAAAGTTTCAAATTAGAAGACTCCTGCTCATCTCCATTTTGAGGGTAAAGAAACTGGAATAAATATAGTACACATACAGATGTGGAGAGGATGCTGCATTTTCATGCAGACAGCCATGATCATTTTTGTCAGTGAAAAAGAACAACAAACATGGTGACATGTTTGTACTCATGAGCCTTTTCCCAGTCAAGAAAGGAACAGAGTATACAGAACTGATTCTCTGCGTCAGAGGCCTTCTCCAAGAAAGATGGCTACAAGTAAGAGTAAAAGGGAAACTAGAAAAGGGAGGCGTTATGCAAGCTGAAGGACAAAGCCAAAACCTGGTAGCACACTAGAAATATTCCTCCTACTCCCCTACTCTCAGTCCAACTCCCATAATTCACTACACCACCCAGACCTGTAAACTGACAGTAGATGAGGAAAGCAACAGGTGAGAAGTTTTGGCAAGCCTGTCAGAGATCTGGCAAGAGTAGAAGTAAAGGTTACGTTTCAGTGCAACCAATCCCACTAGCATATCACTTCCAATGAAAGCTTCACTACCAAGTCCTGCCTCAGCTCCTTGCAGGCACACTGCCAGAGACCAGAGGTGCCGCTTACTCCTGGAGTCTCTACGGTAAGAGTTCCCCACACACACAGCCAAGGGACACCACTGTTCTCTCTTGACCTATCTACAGCGTTCCTATACTCCACTGCTGCCCAGTGCATGCCTTTCTAGATTGAATTATTTAGTAGCAACTAGTACTTCTAGGGGGAAAATATAAGAAAATGTAAAAATAAAATATATATTACGACATTCCAGGAAACCCATTTCTCATGGCAGCAGTGATGTTGACAATGACTCCTCCATGTTCCTGCATCCAGGCGTTGTACACTGTATGAAGGAGGAAGATAGCCTATAAATACCACAGGAAATGCATAAAAATGAGCTTGCCAATGGAAGCCAGATTTAGAGTCTTGACTCCAATTACACCTACATGTTTCCAGCACTGATTTAGATAAACAAGCTGCTCTTTGTACCACAGCCTCAGCACTGGACTGTTGAGATAACAGGCATGGTCCAGGTAAGGCTCAACGCTGATCAAGAAGTCTTTTGGTGGAAGTCAAGACTTCATGCTTCCGTGTAAGTTACTTCTGTTTCCACACTCCCAGTGATATCTGAGAATCATGTATCATACTTGAATCTAACTTTAAATGTACATCCCTGAGGGGACAGAAATATTTTCCCATGTTACACACAGTGAATACAGGCCACAGAAGTTGTGGTCTTCCTATAATCTTCTAAGTGAGTATCCAAAGCCAGCTGACTCCCCAAACCTGGCCTTAACCAGAAGATCATACTTGCCTAAATATAAGTTTGTCTATATGAACAAATATAATGTACAGTTTAATGTAAAGCTTTGGAGAACATCAATGAAAATTAATATCCACTGTCAGATAAGTGTGTGAAAAAGGAAGGCAGAGAAACTTCTCATTCCTTGTCTTCAGGTATTGCTGTAAAAACCAAACCAAAACTAAAACAGCTTAATGTTCAGTCCTTACCTGCCTTGCAGCAGTAGAAGGTGCCTGTCAGGTTCGTGTCTATCACAGCACCCCAGCCTTTTGCACGGATGGCTTCAGAAGGACTCACAAACTGGCCCCCTCCATTATTCACCAGGAAGTCAATCCTCCCATGAAGATTCAGTGTAGAGTTCACCAAAGCTTCTACCTGAAACAATATTTATTAGTGTGGTATTCTGACTAAATTGTATACTGAAATGCTGGGGTCTGAACCCCGAGCCCCGAATTAAGGTTGACATATGGGTGATTCCCACAGCCCTTCATAAAGAGGGGGTGAGTTTGCCTTATAGCTTCCCCCCAGGGTGCGGCCGGCCCTGCAGGGAGAGCCAGAAGGGAAATGAGCCCCAGGGGTCCCGCAGTGAGTTGACAAAGGTCAGGTGTCTGCTTGGGGATAAAAGCTGGGACCACTGGCAGGAAGGGAGGAGCATCTGCTCTGTGAAGTGGACACACTTCACAGAGGTTCATGGTTAAGGAAGGACCTCCTGACTCTCCCTGGAACTGGGCCCTGGTCATCTTGGACCTTTGTGAATGCAGGCTAGATGGGTGAGAGCTGGCCATGTGGCTACCTTTATCTTATGTGTTCAACTTCCTGATCTGGCTGTTTCCCATTCCATCTATGGGAAACATTGGTTCTTTCCTTGTACCACCTATTGTTGGTCGGGTGATGCCTTTTTTGGGATGGTTGGGGGTAATGTCAGCTGCATGTGAACTAATTGACTTGTTTGTACCCCCAGCGATCATTCATGGAACGTCCTTTTTGTATTCAATACATTCCACTTATTGGTTCATCTTCCTGCTGGTTGTGTCATTCGTGTTAGGCCTAGTCATTGGCAGAACATATACCGAATTTCCTTCTCAGACAGTATTTTCTCTCTTCTTCTTTTCACACATGAAGAGTAGGTACCAGCCTTCAGAGAGGCTGGAAGATCAATCTGACAGATTTAGTCAGCCAAGAAGGGTTGTGCTGAGTCCATGTTTACTTAGGAAATATTCCCGGTATAATGCAGGGTCTACATAAATTATCATCACTGAAAGGAAAGAGGGATCTAAGCCACTGAAGGTTTCTAAAACCACACACACACAGAGAAGCCTCCTATTTAAATCTTAGTATGAATTTCCTGACATTTTTCACAAGGGTCAGTGTGTTTACATCAGAGACTGGAATTGTTCCACATAAGGCAGCTACTGTTTTTTATATCTGACCCATATACCTGAGCATTTAAAATAGAAAACTTTAGTCATCTTGTGAAGTTTTAGGACTCTCATCTAGGAGTTTTGTACATTCGCTAAAGCTCTGATATATGAGCTGGCCACAGTCAATCTTCTTATGCAGATCAAGAAGGTTACTTTGTCAGCCTATAATGCATGAACACTAAAAAGGAGTGGATATACTACAGGTTGTCTTCTCTAGCAAAAGACTAAGCAGATACCTTCTGTCTATAGGCAGGACGAGCAGTTACAATGGAAGGCACTGTCTGACACCATTTACCTCTCAGCACTCTGAGAAGGTATTAAAAGCAAATAGCAAAAGACATTTTATTCACTCACTCAAAGAGCTGTCAGTGCAGAGACAGAGTGACTTGTGTTCATATGGAGAGAAAGAGATTTTGAGAATGTAAACCTAGCTCTAATACTGACCTAACCTGAGCTATAGGCTATAAGCTAAGTCTTTTGCGTTGTCTTCTGTTTTGGAAGTACAGCAGTTGTGCCACACACTCACACTGACACAAGAGAACTTCTGTATTTCAAAGCATTGAAAGATATCAAAGCTGATGTATTTTTCCCATTACACAACAGCCACAAGAACTCTACGGCAACTGCTTAATCATTTAACCTTAACCTCAAGAAAGAAGGGAAACAGGACTACATGAGTGTTTCCTGCTTACATTACCTATCCTAACTAGATACCACGCATCAGTTATTCCTATTCAAGCATATACAAGAAGTTAATCTAGCATCTGTGGTCAGAGAAACTAAAAATTAAAAAAAAAAAAAAAAAAAAAAGGCAAACAGCAGGAGTGCTGCTGCTGCAACACATTTGACTAAGGGAAGGATATCAACCTGCCTTCCTCTCTATTGAGTCAGCAGTAGAAAACACCAGAAATAAAAGAACAAACAATGCATGATGATTTGGATCTCATCAAAAGCATTACCAACTCAGTCTCAGAAGTAGCTGCCTTCCAGCTTCTGCTGCTAACAGCTCAGGATGGTTTAACAGGATAGTATGGATCCTGACATGACGTGTCCCTCTGTAGAAGATGACTTAAACACACAGTGACTGAAGCCCAATTGAAAAACTAATGCCTGTTGAGAAAAAATGCCATAATAAAAGCATTTTGATACCTAAATCACCATAATTAAGTTCTGACTGTCATTTTATTCCTCACATCAGTCACTGCAGCTTGTGGGATCTGGGAAAAAAAAACAAAAACAACAAAACACACCCACACACCTAACACCACAACCACAAAGCCAAAACATCTGTGGCAGTAGCCCAAAACCCAGGACTTGTGAGAACCACCATGCCACAAAGACTTCTAGGTTTGCTCATAACCAGAGAAAAAAGTAAGTTATCTCTCACTAGGCAGCAGAAGTTATGCTTTGCTCAGCAACATCAAACCCTTTTCTCTGTCAGCATAAGAATCTTGCTTTGAATATTCTTCTCTGTGAGTCATTTAAGTATGGGCCCATTTATGGAATAGAAATGGTTCCAGTACAAGGAATATTTGAACAGATTAAGGCTATTCGGGCTGGGAGCAGGGAAGAGAGAGAAAAGGGAAACTGCTAAGAATTGTTAAATACCCTAAGGAACCACAAATTAACAGAAGAAAAATCCACTGCAACACTACAAGGAAGTTTTCAACAGGGAGACAAAACCTGCTATGACATACAACATGTGAACCCCTTTGAACTGATATCTTAAGAAACTCCGTTACTCCTACTTGTCACACCATGTTCTCAGGGCAATCAAAAGCCCCACCAAACACGTATCAGTTCTGCTTTCCAAAAGCCACGAAAGGCTAGTGGGCTCTCCAGGGACAGAGCTCAGATGACTCCAGCTGTAGCAATTGTCACAATGTCTTCTGTATTGTAGAGAAGACACTGTTGCAGTGCTGCACCCAGCTACAGTAAACATAGCGACAGCTGCCACCAGCACAGTGAGAACCAGGGTCTGGTAGATGTTTAAATCACGCTGAGAACTAAAGAAGATTCATTTCTATTCCCAAATATTCAAAATCCACATGGAAATCACTAAAAAAGTTACTGAAGTCCTTCTCTGGAAGTAAAGCAAAACTGCACAAGGTAGAGCTAACCATTTAGGATGTTCTTCTGAAAAAAAAAACAAAAAGAACAAAATCAAGCACTTCGGACATAACCAGAAGACTGGAGCTCTTCTTTTTTGTGTGACTACAGCTCAAAAGCATTATGCAGTAGCACACTTCCACAGATGACTGAGATGTCAGTACTTACTGACACAGAGGAAAGGGACAGAGCCCACAGGTATTCACAGGTCACCCTGAACTTGAGTAAAACTCAAGAGGCAAAGTGCTCGCTGCAGAGGGTTAGATTTGCTGCCTGGGGACTGGAACTACTTGGTATTCTTCCACAGTGATAACAGGTACTTTATTTTGTCATACTTGAAAATAACACAGCAATAATACATCAGGAATCTCTTATCCACAGCTCCCCACCAAGTCACAGTCTTCCACTACAAGCCTCACACAGGCAGGCATGCAGTATTCATAAACCAGTTGAGACTAGGCTAAGCCATGAAGCTTATTGGAAAAGCAAAGCTACTAGTGCACTGGGACACAAGGGAAGTGCTAAACAGGACTGTATTGAGTCCGCCTCAAGAAGTCTTCTTTGTCAGATGTCTAAGGGATGATCTTTACCCTTGGGGTCTGGTGCAGCAGCAGTTGTTGCTGGAGCTCGAGTATGGAAACAGGACACTGCGCACAACACACTCAATTTCTGATTTCAGGAAAAGAATGGCCTACTAAGTTTTATCTTCCACTTGCCTACATATGTCTTCAACTTACCTAGATGCCAGCTAAAGAATTGTATGTCCAAAGCACGTAACACAAAGGCTTTACAAGGATAAAAACTTCTTTCATGTCTTTCTCCCATCAATAGATTTTTCTGCAGCTGAGCATTTAAGATACAAACATGTGCTTACCCTTCCCAACACCTACAAAGATAAATAGAAAGCTCTTCTCATACTGGAAAAAGGACAGAATGCCCTTCCTCCACTTTGGCCACCATTACACTGAGGCATTGGAATTTAATAATTTGATCCTTGGATTTTTGAAAAAGAGCTTAGTTTGAAAAGACACACACAGCTGTAAGACTGCATTTCAGAAAGAGCAAACTGACCTGCTTGCTATATGCCCCTCATTATGTAAGCAGAGCTAGAAAATATCCAAATGATAAAAATCACCTCAGCTTCATAATCACTGAGAAGCAATATTGATCACTCTAGATCACAGGAAAAGGGACTGGCACAGTCACTACCACACCACCATATCATGAGGTTAAGGCCTCATGAACACAGAGCATAGAAATCTCAGGTGCATTTACCAGCATCCCAGAACCCTCTACTCTTCCATCTTTAAAAACAAAACCAGTTTTTTATCCTCTACAAAACACTCAATGTAAAACTAGCCAAAAGCAGCAGCAGCAAACTTGTGACAGAAATAAGCCTGACAGGTTATGCAGTGCTTGAAAATCCTCAGTCAAACAAGATTATTTCTTGCACATTAAACAAAAAGTAAGCTTTGCTAGAAAGCAAGAGGGCCTCTGAGGATGAAGATTAAGAGACTTAAAAATGTTAATTCATTAAGCTAGTCTCAGGATATCTGCCATCAAGATTCTGCAGCCTTTAATTCACTGCACCTTCTTTGACCCTTCCTAGGCCAGAAAGAGCTCTAACAGACATATTGCACTGTATGATGAGGGATGAATCTTCCCATGCTTGAATTTCTCAGATCAAAACTAGGGTAGACAAGAAGAATGAGACATGTCACCTTCAAAGCAGGTCAGTTACTTTAAGATTTCCAACAGAAAGCCCAAAAACCCAAGAACCACACCAAAAAAAAAAAAGCCACCTGGGAATTCTGAAAGCACTTTCATCTTTCTTAGTTCTCCTCGATTCAAAGTCGCTCCCTCCAGCTTGCCTGCTTATAAAATTAACACCAGGAAAAAAAAAAAAAACAAAACCACAACCAAAAAAAAACCACCAAATTAAAAAAAAAAAACCAACCAAACAGAATGGCATTCTACAGTCAGAACAGATGGCTTGTTCCTACAGGTGATCATGGTGGCTTTCATGGAGAAAGAGTTACTCTTAGAAAGGTTTCAGTAAGATGTCAAAGAGAAGGATATACTAAATGAATCACGTAGTCACATACTTCTTCAGGAAGCTTCCTGGGCTTTGTAGCTTGTGATGGTTCAGTTTTGGCACCTAAGGAGGCTTGAATTCCTGTCTTTTCTTCCCTTGATGAAACATTTATGAGGTCTTTCTCCTTCACACATTCTTTCATACAATTTCTGAGATAAATACTCTTCCCCTGTATTAAGCTGAAACTAGGCAATGAATTGTAAAGCTATTAATGACCAGCACACAGAGCCAGCACAGTTGTACAAGCCTTGTTTCTTTTGGGAGGGAAGCCAAAAGTTTAAATACCCTCTCAGCCCATCTTCCACTGTAAACAGGAAGCTACTCCTCTATTCGTGAAAATGCTGAAGTGAGTTATATTGCTGTCTGGTTTTGCCTCTACTCAAGGTTTACCCCCTAGGCTCGAAAAATTGCTCACTTCATCTTTTACTGCTGAGTTCATAAGACTCCAAGTCCCAGACACTAAATTTTAGGATAAGAATGGAATAGGTTTTGAAAGTGGATGTATGATGCTTTTTGAATAGAAGGAAAAGCCCAAAGGTACTTCTTCTGTAGTCCCTGCAAAGCAATCAGGTGCAAATTAGAAAAAAGTATTGACCATTGCTGCTCTTAGCAAATATAATAGATAAGCAAGAGAGCAGTGGGTTGTAGAAAATCTGCCACATGCCTCAGTTCCAAGTTCTGACAATTTTGAACAGTCTAAGTGACTGATGGCTAATTTGAGTTGATCTAGCTTCAGTTTACAAACACAAGCACCTAGTGTAAGGAAGTGCTAACCTCACTACTGATTTAACAGATACCTTCAGCAGACAGGGATACGAAATTACAATGGTTTGTCATTGAACTTCCACTGGCAGGAGACACCTGACAGAGGTTTCACCAACTCTATATGAAAAGTCCTAAGCAAGTTCTAGTATGTCTGTAAATTAGTAGATCTTAAAGCTAAACTGGAAACGAGTTTAGCTTTAAGCAAAGACAGAAGTTTCTTCAAGTATCAGCATATCTAACAGTAACACAGAAAAATGACGAAAACACTTTACACAGTAGTATTAAAAGGGCTTTAAAAGCACCTTCAAAAAAATTTCCAAAGCCATCTAAGAGTGTTTGTTCAAATCTGTATTTAGCCACACTTAATAAACAGGAAACAAAGAAGGAATGGTAGTTTGTTCAGTGGTGATGACCTCATTGTACCATCCAAGCCCTCTACCACCTCACAGAACACTGCAGTCCCCACTACATAATTCTTAAACTGATGCAGAAATAAGATTCACCTGCAGAAGGTTGTTAAGCATGCCAGACTGCTTTCTGCAACAACAGTGACATGAAAGAAGGCTTAAGCATTTTTTCTCTCTGTGCCTCTTTTCTTTCCTTTAGCTTTAATCATGCAAGTTGCCCTCTGACATCTGTCATAACCTATTATATTTCACTGCTGATGTTAGTAAATACAGACCTAAAATTCACTGGTAGGTGAAGAGAGATACTGCACAGCCCCAAGGTTCATCTCCTTCAGGAGAGAAATTCTAAGTATATCACCATAAATATTTTATGGCATGAGACATCCCGTGATGAAATAATTTTCTTTTTTATTTGCTTTGTGGTTGTATATTAGGATATTTCCAGAATCTACATAGCTACTGAAAGTCATTAATATTTCTTTAAGTTATGCTGGAATTTAACAGAGACTTTAAAGGTTAAGAAACATGTAGCAATATTTTCTAGCTGTCTTCAATAAGTTAAAAGTCCAACCTGATGTTGGGCTTTTAAATGTTTAATTACACAGATTAACAAATTAGAAGGTGAATCCAGACTTCTGAAGAACCCGGATTAAATATTTTTGCTCTAGATCTTCCATTTTTTTGGTAATAGGAAAAAAAACCCACCTCAACTGGGATAGCAATGGGGTTTTTAATGAGGCACACCTCAAACTGTAATTGAAATCTGAAACACAGCTAAAACAAATAATATCTGTGTGGTTGTTTTTTGCTTTAATACAAGCAAAAGTGACAACACAAGACACTGGTATCAAGTCACAAACATTGAGATTCCATGCTATGACTTCCTGTTTGAAGGAACTGTTCTGAGGTCTCAGTCTTCACAAGTTAACACCCCCTCACTGCTGTCGCAGAAATGTTACACAGAAGCATGCTGAGTGGGCTCCAGCTCAGCTGTAGAACATACCTGTTCCATGGCCTGCTTATCCCAGAAATATCTGAGATACACATGCACGATCAGAAAAATATTTGCAATATTTGCTTTCTCATTTAGGTGGCAAACAAAAGATCTTCCCTTGGAAAGCACATCCTTATCTAGATAACTCTGCTTTGCCGCCCCTCTTCCCTGATCTAAGCCACTTTTGAGAGGGCCAAAGAAGACCTTTGAAGATCTGAGAATTTATACAGACTATATGCTTTCGACGTGTTCAGCCCCTGCACGAGATCACCAGTTTTACCTCATCTTCGTTGCGGATATTGCACTGTACGGGAGTCACCTTGGCAGGACTCCTGGAAGAAAATGCATTATTCAGTTCTTCTGCAGCAGCTTTTAATCGGTCAAATTTACGAGAGGCAATAACAACACTGCAACCTGTAGAGACAAAATTGAAACATCCTTCAGCTAGCATAGTTAAAATTATAGTTATGCTAGTTTTTCAACAACATCAGGGAAATATCTTGTAGGATGTGTGTTTATCAGTCACTGGCTAGAAGATACGGTGGTCAAGTTCTTGCAAGAGAGGGAAATGACTGATCCCGGTGCTTCCCCGCAACAAGATCCCACTGTGCCAGGAAAAAAGCAATGAAGCAAAATGTTCACAAGGTTCCCTCCCCTTCCTGCAGAAAGAAAGATAGCCTGTCAGTTGCAGAGTCAGCAAAGCAGCTTTCAGACATCACTTCTGCTGCCTCTGCTTACAGGTGCCTCATTTATCAATTATGTGATTTAAAGGTGCCTCAGCAGGGTCTTGATTACAAAAAAACCGCTTGCTCCTAAAACCACAAAAACAACCTTACTGTACTTTTGGCTGTAATTTTTACTAGCAGTGAGGCAATGTAATGCTCTGCTTTTTAACCCTACAGTCTGAAGGAAAGGATGTCAGCCTCATGAGATTAATCCGTATCTGCAGACTGCAGGAACAGCAGGTTGCCCATGGCACTGCCACACAGTACAATCCCAGCTCGGAAAGGAGAGGAAAAAAGCCAGGCAGGAGCTCGGGCCTCCTGTTTTTTTACAGCATTTGGAAGCAGGACTCATTCTACAGAAAAGAAGAAAATAAACCAAAAAAACAATGCAGGTGCCAAATTAATGACAAGCACTCATACTACAACCAGTCTAGTTTCTTCTGTCATACCAGTGGACTCAATTTAGGACAGCCATTGCTACTACATAGACTGGAACAGACCACACCAAAATAATTCCTAGTGCAAACCCAATAGGCATGCAATTTCATATTATGGATAAGCCAATTACCAGCTTCCACTGGCAAGGAGGTCTTCCTCCCAGTTCCCTTCTTCCACAATCTCACCCTCTCAGCAGCAGCCATTCCTTCCTCATATCAGCTCTGCTGCTCATCTGTTTTAACATAAACTAATTCAACACCCTCAACCACCAAAAAAAAACTGTTAACATCTTGCCAGGTGGTTTTTTTTTTTTCTTTGTTTCTATTCTACTGTGTGGAATTTGGCCTCTCATGATCAAACAAACATAAGAATCAATTCAAAATAACGTGTGGGAGTAAAGAGCAGCAAGCTGTTCATTTGGCTCAGGCTGTCTTGTGAAAATATACAGAAAACCAAAAAAAAAAAAAAAAGCTGAATTCTTCCAGAAAGAAGGAAAGAAGTGTTGCAACTACATGACACCACCCTAGGAACAAGAGCTTCACCTTCAATCAGTGGACATCTTGAAACAACACAAGTAAAGGTATCAGTCTCTGAGGTTTGATGATTTTTTTTAAATTAAGAACTCCCATTACTTGCACACCCACTTCACTAACACGGAGTAGAGTTCATGAAGCAGCACGCACAATTACCAACTAACACAAAACACTAAATGACAGCAGTATTGTTACATTTATCAACTTAAGTGCTTATTAATACACACACTGATATAGAATAAAGTCTAGTAAAAGACTATAGTTTTGCTAAATATGCTAATTGAGAGATGCGGGAGATTCTACCTCACTGAGGAACATTTGGTACTTACTTCACAAGCTAATACTGCTTCAGTGTTTTTTTTATTTCACAAAGAATGACCAGACCACTTCCTCATAGGGTCTGGGGGGGAAAGGACACAAGTTTCCAGATGAAAGTTTTAAATCTGTCCAGAAGGCTTCAAAGAGGACTGGTTATAAACCCAATGTACATCATGACCAGCACATGTTACGTAATGACATACATTATTTCTCACTGCTCCTACAGGCATTCTCTGTCCAGCCAGCCCCTCTCAAAAAAAAAACCAAAACACTCTAAAGCACAAAGTATACATGGAAATAGATGCCAGTCTTCTTCTTGTCAGGAGTAGCCAGCAAGTGTGCAGGTAAGGAAGGCTACTTGGATGTAAGCCATAGCTCTTTCTTTGTTTTCTCACATACACTTTGTAGAGATTTGCAGCCTTGTTTTCTGTTTGGAAACACTTTCATTATTTGTATTTTGCTTGAGAAAAGTAATGTGGATCAAATTAAGTACGATTTTAAGGCAACTGGGTAACATCATCAGCCAACAGTGTGATGACACTCCAAAAGTGCCTATTTAAGACAGCATGTAAGGACACCTTAAAAAAAAAGGAAAAGCTTAGTTCCTCAGTAATACAAAGATAGCTAAAACTATCCCTCACTTCAGCTCCCCAGAGCAAGTGGAAAGCTGGAGCCACAAAGGCCAGGAGTGGCAAAGATGTCTCCCAGCACAGAGTCTTAACAAAGAAAGCTCTTTCTACACAGTGAAACAGCGTGTTGCACATTTCAACAGCACAAACTATGGTGAGCACAGTGCCGTGAGGCAAAATTACAGTGCTGGTGTTCTGAAGACAGCAAATGCCATCATGAGAATAAACATTATTTGAAAACAATCTGATGCTGATGCTCCCTATGTTGAAACTTGTAGAAAAGGTTGCAAGGTGGCTGACTTGGAAGACTGCCTTTCCTTCCGGATTTTATCACTTCTCTGCAATCGGCATGGGAAGAAAGGCCACACAGCACACGCTGAAGATCCACCTTCACTGGAGGACATTTCTGTGACAAGCACTGAGAGAAGCACCATTGCTCTGTGCTCACTGCGAGGGCAACAGTGCAAAGCCATAGCTGAACAACCAGCTAAATCCTCCAGTTGAGCAAGATGAAAGCTCACTTGAAAGGGAGTATGGGAGGAAGGGTCCGCGTCTATCAGGGCTTAACAGAACCTCTCCGCCGACTGTCTTTTCAACAGCGCACCTTCTAAGCGCTAGCAGCTCAGAAGACATCGCCCCGCAGGAACCTCAGCCCGCTCTCTCCATTCACCGACTGCCCTCACAGCGTTCTACCCACCAGCTCCTCCCACACCCCCTCCCCGAGCGCTGCCTGCCCCCCAAGAGGGAGCACGGTCCCCGAGCGCCCCGCGGTTCGCCCCCTCAAACTCCACCCTCACCTCAGCCGGGGCCCTGCTCCCCCAACACCTACCCCGGCC